AAAAAAAAAAATAAAAAAAAAAAAAAAAAAAAAAAAAAAAAAAAAAAAAAAAAAAAAAAAAAAAAAAAAAAAAAAAAAAAAAAAAAAAAAAAAAAAAAAAAAAACCAAAACGCAGGAGCACAGCTGAGTAGAAAGAGTTATTAGGCACAGCCTCAGCAGAAAGGGCGTGCTGCCATTCACCTGGCCGCCAGCAGGAGGCGCGATTCTGCAGCAAAAAGATAGGACTGAGAGCCCTTTACCTCAGGACAGGAAAGTCCCCCTTCCCTACTTGTTCAGTGTCTGCATGCCATTCAAACAATACGGGGACGACACAGGAACTAAGAGATGCATCGTCTACTACTTTAATCATTTTCAGAAGCTCACAATAAACAGTGAGCTTCTGCCAGAACCCAGGCTTAAGCACTTGGTAAAGGTCTAGGGTCAGGCCTTCATTTACGGCTTTTCCTGCAAGGGCTGCTGGGAAGGCGGGAGAGGGCCACCGCTCAGACTCTCACCTTCAGAAGCTCATCCTCACCAGCGTCAGGGAACTTCTCGTGCAGCGAGTCCTTCAGCACCTTGGCAATGAAGCGCATCCCGTACCTGAGGGACAGACAGACCTGGTGAGCAGGCCAGGGAGCAGAAGGGCCCATGCTGGGCTCTGTCTGGGGCACAAGTGACAGTACTCACGGGATTTTGTCCACAGAGCTGATGATGGCTGACAGGAACTTGTCCGTCACGGCCCGCATGTTCCTGATGGAGTTGTCCAGCCGTGTCTTGACTTCTTCATGAGCCAGAGCCTGCTCAGGGGTCACGTCATAGGGTAGTTTGCTGGGAAAACAAAAATTATCCCCAACTATATTAGACCAACAGCCAGGAACAGCCTGACACAAGACTACATCTTTCATACACAGAAACACCCAGAAATATTAGGTAGCTTGCTCCTGCTCATATAGCCAGCAAACGGTGGGGCCACAACTTGACCTCACACTTGGAACTGTGAATCAGGTGCCTTGAACTCTGTCAGGCACTGTGATAGGCCTTTGGGATAAAAGCGATGAGACATGATAGCTTCTCGAGTCTCTTACAGTCTGGTGGGAGAGACACACAAACGCGTAATTATATAAACCCACCGTGCTTTAAGTAAGATGAGCAGAAATGCTAGAGTGCCACAGAGCAGAGGTTTTTACTCAGACTGGAAGAATAGAGGACAACATCCATAAGGAAGGGACATCTAACTCAGGAAAAAGCGAGAAGTCTTCCAGGAAGATCCAATGCAAAGAAAGGAAGAGGGAGGAGGAGTGAGGGTGGAGAGCAAACAGCCAGGTTGTGGTAGGCCCTGTGCCTGATGCTCAGGCCTCTGGACAGTCCCAGAAGCCAGAGATGTGCCATTAGAAGACAGGAGATCTGAATCTGAAGGAAGACAGCTCTGACCCACGGTGAGGAATGAATTAACGATGGACAGTCATTGGAAAGTCGGTGAGAAGATATCCACAAACCTCTGGGGCAGTGAGTTCAAACAGAAACTAGTCACCACAGTCCTAGAGAAACGGTTGCATGTTCGCTGTGTTTCACAGCCTTGGGATGCTGGTTCTATAAGCTACCACAAGACTCGCTCAACCGTAACTTACAACAGTCTTCAAACACCTGTGCCCTTAGAAGAACCAACTTTCTCTCTAAGGTAACTGCCCTACTCTCGCAACTGAGCGTTTAACTTACAAATATGAAAAGCCCTCTCCAATTCTTCTCTCGTAACAGAGTGCCTAGTGCAAAACCATTGTTTTTACATTAAGGATTGCCTGTATCATGGCAATACATCTTAGTAACGCAAAAATCTTATCATCTCCTAAAGCTCTGAGCACATCAAACATGTATCCCACAACATACACCATGACAGTCCAGGGAAAGCCAGGTCTGCCTTTACCCTCAGAGACATAATCTTTCAAGTACCTTGTCATTCTCCCCTCACCTGAATTTCTGGTAGGACTGGGAAAGATATTCATTAATGATGCTTAAGTGAGCATTATCTCCCAGAAACATCTTATTGGAAGCTGCATGCTGGAGCATCTTTGCAATGGAGCCAAGATTTCGGCGCTGGTCTGTGGTAAGCTGGCCTCCTGCTGACAGGTCAATGATGTCAAAGGCGTCCGGAGCAACAATGGCTGGATTCATGTATCGATAGTAAAGCAAGTTTCCAACAATCTGGGAACAGATGGAAAAAGAAGGGTGTGAAACACCACTCCACCAAGTAAGCCCTGAACAACTCTGTTAGCAAAGAAAACCAGAAAATGCAGTGCCTGTAAGGAAAAAAAAAAAAAACATCACACCACATACACACACTTTCTCTCAAGGCCTGAAACTAAGAGGATCAAATATCCCCTGAATGGATACAGAAACAACAAAATGAGAACAGTACTGACAATCACTACAATGAAAGAGCAGCTTCAGAAGGTAAACGATAGATTTAAAGCCTATCACTGAGCATTTTGGGGCATCCTTTGTTCACACATCATGGCAGCAAATAAAGCTGCTCTCATCACATGCACTTTTCACTGTCATTAGGTATGCTTCCATGCTAAGAAACTAAAGAGCACAGCTAAAATAAACGCTTATTCGTGACCTAATGAGCACAGCGTACTCTGCCCAAGCCCGTCATCCACATGCTCCGGACTTCAAAGGTAGACAGGTTCACACCTCTGAAACTGAAGTCACTCAACACACATCTCCACAGGAGAATTCAAGGACAGTCACAGCACTTCCCCTAGTTTCATTCAGAAAGAATAAAATTAATTCACCTGAACAGAAAGTCTAGAATCGAGGCCTCACTGTAGGAAAGCACAGAACTAGGAGAGAGAA